GCCCATCCCAAAGAAAGGTGATCCAACAGAATGTGGAAATTACCAAACAGTATCATTAATGTCACACACAAGTAAAATTTTGCTTAAGATCATTCAAAAATGGTTGCAGCAGTACATTGACAGGGAACTGCCAGAAATTCAAGCAGGATTTAGAAGATGAAGTAGAATGAGGGATGTCCTTGCTGATGTCAGATGGATCTTGGCTGAAAGCAGAGAATACCAGAAAGATGTTTACCTGTGTTTTATAATCTGTGCAAAGACACTCGACTGTGTGGATCATAACAAATTATGGATAATATTGTGAAGAATGGGAATTCCAGAACACTTAATTGTGCTCATGCGGAACCTGTACATAGACCAGGGGGCAGTCATTTGGACAGAACAGGGGGATACTATGTGGTTTAAAGACAGGAAAGGTGTTTGTCAGAGTGGTATCCTTTCACCATACTTAGATTCAGTTTGTATGCTGAGCAAATAATCCTAGAAGCTGGACTCTATGAAGAAGAACACGGCATCAGGATTGAAGGAAGACTCATTAACAACCTGTGTTATGCAAACAATACAGCCTTGCTTGCTGAAAGTGAAGAAGACTCGAAGCACTTACTGATGAAGTTCAAAGACTACAGCCTTCCGTATTGATTACATCTCAACATAAAACAAAAATCCTCACAACTGAACCAATAAGCAATATCATGATAATAAACAGAGTAAAGATTGAAATTGTCAAGGATTTTGTTTTACTTGGATCCACAATCAGCACCCATGGAAGCAGCAGTCAGGAAATCAAACAAGTATTGCGTTGGGCAGATCTGTTGCAAACGATCTCATTGAAGTGTTAAAAAGCAATTATTTCACTTTGAGGACTAAGGTGCTCCTGACCCAAGCTATGGTATTTTTCAGTTGCTTCATATGCTTGTGAAAGCTGAACAATGAATTAGGAAGACCAAAGAAGAATTGATGCCTTTGAATTATGGTGTTGGTGAAGAATATTGAATGTACCGTGGACTGCCAGCAAAACGAAGAAATCTGTCTTGGAAGAAGTACAGCCAGAATGCTTCTTCGAAGCAAGAATGGTGAGACTTTGTCTCACATACTTTGGATATGTTATCAGGAGGGACCAGTCCCTGGAGAAGGACATCATGCTAGGTAAAGTAGAGGGTCAGCGAAAAAGAGGAAGACCCTCAATGAGATAGATTGATACAGTGGCTGCAACAATGGCTTAAGCATAGTAATGATTGTGAGGATGGCACAGGACCAGGCAATGTTTCATTGTGTTGTATATATGGTCGCTATGAGTTGAAACCAACTTGATGGCACCTGACAACAACATATCTCAAATACAATTGTCACTGCCTTTTCTTCCTTTCTAGGAATTGACATGAACTACTAAGAAAAAAAAAATAGAATAAGTATAATGTATAATTACAGTTTTGGAACAAGGAATCGGTATGACTAAATATGACTATGTATGGTCTTTCATCATTTGTCTGCAGGGCTAATGTAGCAATTTTTCTTTTGGTGTGTATTCTCTTTTTTCTGACCTCTTTGTGCCAGTTGATGTGAATGCACATTCATTTTCCTATTTTGATACCTATAATTAAGGTATGGAGTCTTATGTTAAAAAAATGTTATTCATCATTAAAAAGATAACCTGATGATTCAGGAATTCCAGTTTTGTATAATTGCTCAATTATTTGAAAATCATTTTTTTTTCCAAGATTCTTGTCATCATATGCTAAGAATAATGATTGCATATAAAATTTTATTTGGATGATTACTTTTACACTAAATGCTGGCTTTTTTGTAAGGTTTTCTTCCCAATGTTTTCTCTTCCCTAGGTAATCTCATATCACGTCTTTTAAAGGCTCCTTCCTGAGGCGTTGCATCTCCCGCTTGTGTTTCATGTGCATCTGAAACACTAGCTATACCAAATATTTTCTAGGTAGAGGAGAGGTAGTACCTTCTAGATAGAAGTAGACACAGAGGGATAGGATTATGATCATAACTCCTTGATTAAGTAGATGAGTATATTGAAATTTTCAAGTCTAACCTTTTTTCAGTGCACTTTTAGTCTAGATCAAAATAATACTCAGATAAAATAATTATTTGTCAAGTTATTTGAATGGCATTATTTCCTATCCTCTTAAGGTTATTTTAAAATCTGTATGTTATCATTATCTATAGTTTGAAGATGATTTACAGGGTAGACCTTTGTTTTGGTGTTGTTTAGTACCTCCCCTTTTTTAAATTTTTCTTTCTTTTTGTCATTTAATTGTCATTAAATAAAAATTAATTCTTTTATAGAATGAAGTTTCTTTTCCACTGTACTCCTGCCTTCTTTTCCCCCTATCTTCATCATTTAGTCATATATGGGAACACAGTTCACACACATACACACATACACATACAGAGAGTCATTAAGATTTTGGGGTCATTATTTTATAAAGTGGGGTTATATTATATACCTGTAATCTACTAGTGTCAGACCTCATCTACATTCAGGAGGAGGGATGAGAATCACCATCAGCCCAAAGCTGATTCCTTCGAGATGGAGGTCAGTCCCAACTTTTTCACCTTCTCTGATACCAGCTGTCTTCCCCATGGCCGTCTCTACTTCTCTGCTAGGTTCAATAATTCATTGTAATGGCCACACAGAACTCACAGACCATATTCACGATTATGTGATTTATTTGGAAAGTAGTAGGCTATACAACTCGGGATTAGGATGAACTTGGAAGTAACAGGATACAACTCAGGAGACAAGATACAGTTTTTTAGTCAGGACAGCTTCCAGCCAAGACAGCTCTCAGCTGCTTCTCGGCCATGCCCTCAGGCAGGCAGCCCTTCTCTCTGCTATGCCTACCATTGGGCCTTCTCTTGGCCTCTAACCTGTTCGGGTGGGCAAGTGTTACAGCTCTTTAGCTGCGCCAGCAAGTGCCCAGAGACACTCCACTCTGCCAGCAAGCCTTGTGCCCAAAGGCGCTCAGCTCACTCTTGCTCTGTGGGTCAGCAAGCCCACTGCAGCAGCCTTGCACCAGTCTCCTGGTTGCTGCCGATCGTGCTGCTCCACTGTCTCGTGCCATCTCTTGCCGTTTTCAGTGTTACAGCTCTCTCTGTCTCCTGGGTCTAGGAGATTCTCAGCACAGGGACCCTGGGTCCAAAGGACGCACTGTGCTTCAGCTCTTCTTGATGGTAGTGAGGTCCCTCTCAACCTTTGTGGAACTGGCCCTTATGTAAGCCTATTCCTTGTCAATTTCAAGGCATAGTCTTCCCACCAGACCGAGAACTAACCAGTCCCCTATGTAGGCCACACTCACTTAATTTGTGTGGTAAATTGACCAATTCCTACAAGGTCACTTAATCATATTGGGCAGTTTTAAATACCCTATTTGCATAATAGACTGACCAGTCCCTTGCAAGATTGTAGCCCAGTAAATCATCTTGGCAGAACTACAAACCCAAGTCCAAAAGGATATATATAAAGAGAAATCCATTGCACTGCAGTACCCTTGTGTGCTTCTTGGTTTTTCTCATTAAACACACACACACACACACACACACACACACACACACACTGTGAAAAATCTATTCGAGCCAGTTTGGGACTAGCTTATTTTTTTCAGTCGAATTGGTGCAATAGTTTGTGGCATGGATTCTGCTACCACAGTTTCATCAAATCCTCTGCCTTGAATTTACATTTTCTTTGTTTCTGTTTCCTTATCACTACAAACAGTACTGTAATAAACATCCTTATGCATATATCCTTCGATACTGCAGTTTTAGGAGTACATAGATTGTTGGATTGAAAGATTTTAAAAATTTTTTATAGATATTGCTTTTTGAAAAGTAGATAAGTATTGTTTTCTCAGAAGCTGTAGTAGCTATAGCCCAGAATGTGCCTTGGAAGACAGGCCTGGCAACCTGCTTCTGAAAAGTCCACAGCCATGAAAACCCTAGGGGACACAGTTCTGCTTTGCACACATGGGGTCACCATGATTCGGAATTGACTCGACAGCAATTGTTTGAGTTTTTTTTGATTTTTAAAATATATTTATAAGTAGACAGTTGTTTTAATCATTCAATTCAAAATTTAAACTTTTGTTGCCAGTATGTCAGTTTGATGTCATTTCTATCTACACTGGAAATAAACAAAAACATCACTAAGAATAAAAATACTTTCATTTTCTATGATGCTTATGTTTTTAAATATATGGGATTTTTAAAACTTAAATAAAGTATGATTTAATTCAAGTATAGTTAGAGAACATGCTATATATGATTATTTTCTGGCATTTGTGAAGACTTGTTTTGAGTCATGGTTGTGTGTGTTCGTGTGTATGTGTATGTATGAGAGAGAAAGAGAGAGAGAATATTTTATATGTACTTGAAAGGAATGTCCATTTTTTAATTGTGTGGTTAGGAGTTTTATGTGCATTTTAGATCAGTGGCCTCCCAAAATGTCTTTGAAAAAATTAGGTACCCCTTGCACATTTAAGTCGACATTTAAAATTTTTTATTTTAAGTTTAAATAGTGCACAGGATATCATTACTCGTGTGTTGTGTAAAACTTGACATTTTGAAGTAAAACAGTTTTTTTGTTCTTTTAAAAGTATCCAGTGACTTCTAAATATTTTAATGATTTAATACCCTCAATATCTATTAAAAAAACAAACAGACACTAATGGACTTTCACCTCCAGTTATGGGAAACTTGAAAACTTGGATCAGTCCTTCTGCAGAGGATGACTAACAAAACTGGATAAATTTTTTTTTTTTTAATCTCTTGATAGGTCACAGAAGTCATCTTCTAAGAAGTAGAAAAATAAAATATAGTTGATTAAGAATTCAGCTGTAAGTGGTGTTGTACCAAAAGATTTGGACTTCTACTTCATTTTGTGCTGATTTTAAGAATTGTTACTTTAACCCCATTACTAATTATAGGTATTTTGTAAGTGTACTTTCAGCTATCTGTAATCGTTTGTCTTTCTGCTTCTTTCCTAGGTATCACACCTGTGTATCATAATATGTTTGCTTTAATGAGTGAAACAGAAAGGATGTGGTATCCACCCAACCATGTCTTCCATATAGATGAGTCAACCAGGCATAATGTACTCTACAGAATAAGGTACTTTCTACAGTAAGATTGTAAAGTGACTCACTTAATGGTGAAAGGGCAAGTGGGAGAAATCATCAAATATATGTTTTAATTGCAAAGTACTTAAATCCAGAGACCAGAACTCATTAGCATTTAATCTTCTTCATTTAAGACTGTCTCTCTATTAGAGGAAGTATCTACAATGAAATGTCTACTTAGAATGGTCTGAGAATAAACCCATTCTGGTGGGACACCATTTTACTACTTATGGTTATAATTAAAGAAGTAAAAGAAGGATGAGGAAGGCCTTTACTAGCAAAACCCTAAATGTTTAGAATATTGCTTGTTTCCTATGAAATTTGATATTTTATACAATAAAATGTCATCTCACATCCCTTCTTTTAGATGAAATGAAGAAAAGATAAGCTATCCAAAATGAGATTTTATATGATTTAAAAAAATCCTTCCTGCCTATTATTTATGGACTATTCTTCATTTCCCTTATTGCATACGTAGGATTGTAACAAAAAGAACATAACCAGTTGCTGCTCAGTTGACTCTGACTCATGGCAACCCGTTAGAGTAGAACTGTCCTCCATAGGTTTTTCAGTGGCTGATTTTTTAGAAGTAGATAACCTGATCTTTCTTCCAAGGTGCCTCTGGGTAAACATGAACCTACAACCTGTCAATTAGCAGTCAAGTATATTAACTGATTGCATCACTCAGGGACTCTGGCTTGTTTAATTCATGTGAAGTCTAGAAATAATCCCTCACATTTATGATCAATTGATTTTTGACAGGAGTGCCAAAACAATTCAGTGAGAAACAAAAAGACTTTTTAACAAATAGTGCTGGGACATCTGGATATCCACATGCAAAAGAACAAAGTTGGACCACTATCTTAGACTATGAAACTCTTAGAAGACAACTGTTGGTCTCTACTCGTATGGAGCAAAAGAGAATGAAGGAAATCAAAGGCTCAAAGAAGAAACTAGTCCATGGGACTAATAGCCCACATGAACCACAGCCTCTTCTAACCTGAGACCAGAAGAACTAGATGGTGCCTGGTTACCACTAGGGACCGTTCTGACCAGGGACACAATAGAAGGTCTCGGAGACAGTGGGAGAAAAAATGCTTAAAAAAGGCCAGGCCTACTGACTGATAGAGACTAGAGGAACTCCCAAGACTGTCGTCGTAAGGTACCCTTTGAACTTGGAATTGAAGCTGTTTCAGCAGGTCACCTTTAGCCAAATAATAGATTGGCTCATAAAATGAACAATATCACCTGTGAGTGATGTGTTCCCTTAAACAATTAACTGTATGATACCAAACAGTCAACGTTTACCCAAAAGCAAAGATGAGAACGCAAGGAGGGGAAGGGAAGTTAGATCAATGGAAACAGAACAAACAGAATGGAAATAAGGAGAAGGCTGACACATTGTAAAAATTGTAGCCAATGGCATGTGTCATGGATTGAATTACCTCCCCCCAAAACTATATGTATCAATTTGAAACTGTCTAAGCTGTTTTGAAACTCTGAATGGATAGAGGAGGGGCAGCAGCAGAGGACCAGCAGCAGCAGAACCAGGAGACCAGCACCAGATGGCGCTGGAGCCAACCATGGAGTGACTATCAAAATTAAAATCTTTTGTGCTTCAAAGGACACTATCAAGAAAGTGAAAAACAACCCATAGAGTTGGTGAAAATATTTACACTATAAAAGCTTTGTATCCAGAATATATTAAGAACTTTTATAGCTCAAGAATAAAAAGACAAAAAGCCCAATTAGAAAATGGGGAGAGGATTTGAATAGACATTTCTCTAAAGATGACATATACAAATGGCCAATTAGCACGTGAAGAGATGTTCAACATCAGTAGTCATTAGGGAAATGAAAGTCAAAACTACAATGAGATACCACCTCACACCTACTCCAGAAACCAAAACCCATTGCTGTCGAGTCAGTTTCAACTTACAGTGACCCTGTAGGACAGAGTCGAACTGCCCCATAGGGTTTCCAAGACTGAAATCTTTACAGAAGCAGATTGCCAGGTCTTTCTCCTGTGGAGCAGCTGGTGGGTTCGAACCACCGACCTTTGGGTTAGCAACTGAGCGCTTAACCACTATGCCACCAGGGCTCCTTTCACACCCACTAGGATGGCTAAAATTTAAAAAGATAGACAACAACAGGTGTTGCTGAAGATGTGGAGAAATTGGAACCCTCATTTATATTGCTGGTGGGAATGTAAAATGGTGCTGCTGCTTTGGAAAGCAATTTAGCAGTTCCTCAAAAAGCTGCCATAGGACCCTGCAATTGTATTTCTGGTGTATATGCAGGGGAAATGAAAACTTGTGTCCAAAACAAATCCTTGCGTGTGGCTGTTCAGAGCAGCGTTATACATACTAACCAAAAATGGGAACAGTCAAATGTCCATCAACTCATGAATGAAGGAGCAACATGTGGTATATCCATAGAACAGCCTATAGTTCAGTAATAAAAAGGAATGAAATACTGGTACATGCAGCAACTTGAATGAACCTTATAAACATCATGCTAAGCGAAAAGTCAGGCAGAATATGCCGTATATTGTATGATTCCATTTATATGAAATGTCCAGACTAGGCAAATTTATAGAAACAGAAAGATTAATTGTTGCTTAGTGCTGAGGAGTGGGTAGTGGGAATTTGGATGACTGCTCATGGGTACGGAGTTTCTTTTAGGGGAGATAAAATGTTCTAAAAATTAGATTATGGTGATGTTTGTACAACCCTGTGAATATGCTAAAAAGACAAAGTTGAATTGTACATTCCATTGAACTTAGTGGTATGTGAATTATATCTCAATAAAGCTGTTATTAAAAAAATCAATGGTACCTTTTCTTTCTTTGAAGGTTTTAACCTCCATTTCTTCAAAAGAAGCAGTTATTTGTTTTCATACACAATCACCATTTTCAGATTCATCTATTAATCTTAATGGATTTTAACTTTTTAAAAACTTTGTTAATATTTAATTTCTACATCTCTCTGTTTTCTGTTGCTGCTACATGCTATGTATAGAAGAAGATACTATATTGATTTTACATTTACTTACGTTCCTTGTGGAGTCCCTGGGTGAAGGAAATGGTTAACACGCTCAGTTGCTAAGGTTGGTGGTTCAAGTCAGGCCTTGGAAGAAAGGCCTGATGATCTACTTCCAAAAAATTATCCATTGAAAACCCTGTGGAGCACAGTTTCATCCTTACACTCATGAGGTTGCCATGACTTGGAATCGACTTGACAGCTACTGATTTTTTTTTTTTTTAACTGGTTTTATGTTCCTTGTGTTTTATGCCTATGTTATTATCATGGTCTAATCCAAATTTGGAAACCCTGGTTGGTAGTGGTTAAGAGCTATGGCTGCTAACCAAAAGGTTGGCAGTTTGAATCCACCAGGCTCTGCTTGGAAGCTGTATGGGGCAGTTCTATGGGTCGATATGGGCTGGAATTGACTTGACAGCAATGGGTTTGTTTTTGTTTTTTTGGTTTTAATCCAGATTTCCATTTGTCCCCATCTTGTATTCAGCACTGTTAGCTGTGTTTTCTTATTATGAGGTATTACTTTTCAGTATGCTGCAAGTGAATGTGTATACGTATTGTGTTTATATTTGAACTGTTTGGAGGCTGAGTGAGTGCTTTAATTTCTCGTAGGTTTTACTTTCCTCACTGGTATTGTAACAGCGGCAATAGGACCTATCGGCATGGAATATCTCGAGGTGCTGAAGCTCCTCTCCTGGATGACTTTGTCATGTCTTACCTGTTTGCTCAGGTATGATTGTATTACCTCATTTGTACTTGTGTGAAATGATAAATATCTTGCCACTCAGACTATCTCTTAATCAGGAAAAGTTTCACATATGAGAAAATTGCTGTTCCGCCTTGCACAGCAGGTATAGCGAGGTAGCAAAATTGAGGCTTTTTAGTACTAATTTTTAATCCCATGGTTTATGGATAATAGAATCTATCTTATAAGCATTCCTTGATTTGATCCTTTTGGTTTTTCTCTTTTTTATGTTAGTACTTTAGACCATTTTAAGAATTTCACAGTGTGAACTGTTTTACAACATGGTTCATGTAGACATACTAGCTGGACTATAAGACCGTAAAACATCTTTACAGAATTTTTTTTTTTTTTAATTCTTGGGCAATTTGAGACTTAAATAGCGGGTAGTGAAATGTAAAGAAAGTAGGCCAACTGCCTAAAAAGTCAACTACTGTAGTTTGTGTAGCTCTTCATAAGAGGGTGTCTGGATGTTGCTAATAAATCTGAGGGCTACATTTCAGTCGTGTATTAATGCTGTTAGGTGACATTTGTGAGTATTTTATAATACTTTCTTATCTCTCACCTTGATTTAAACGGTAATTGAAATATTTTCTCATTAAATACCTTTCACTTTTATGTGCTGCTGAACTAGTATGAGTGGAAACTAAGGAAAGATGAGAAAACATATTAGTGCTCTTGTATCCCCAAGGTGTCAGATTAAGGAGTTCTAAGCCTGATTTGCTAATATTGTAGGAAGTAACCCCACAGATCCTCATGGCTCAAATTTCCAAGCAGCCTAGTGGTGCTAGTTCAGTTTATGAGCAACAGATTGAAAAATATTTCTTTCCTGGGATATGAGACCAGTCAACTTTTATACAGCTTCCTTTAGTCTCAGAAGCCATTATAAAAAGAGACAGCACTCTGAGAACAGCCTACTGTAGGTTAGGATCTTCTGCTACTTTTATGACTTCAGTATTTTCTTCTGCTGCCACACTGGTTCATTTTGGTGGCATGCTAGTTAAACAACCCAAACCTGTTGCCGTCAAGTCAGTTTTGGCTCATAGTGACCCTATAGGACAAAGTAGAACTGCCCCACAGGGTTTCCAAGGCTGTAATCTTTAAGAAAACAGATTGACGTGCTAGTCAATAATACTATATAATACTATATAGTATTTTTTATTTATGAACCTTACCTTCCCTGCTAGATTTTAGTCTCCTTCAGGGCTGAGACCATGTCTTCTATTTCTTTGTATTCAACACAGCGTTTTAGGATAATGTTTAAACATCATTGGCATAACTAAAGTATTAGGTAGTTTTGATGTAGAAGGTATGATTTGAAGATATAGCAGTGAAATAGGCTGTTGTCATATGTATTCTTTAATTGGGAACCTAATTTAGATCACTTTCCATTTGTATAAGAATTTTTGCTAAAGTTTTGTGATAAAATGATTGAAAACCAAGGGGAGGAGTTTATTTCTAAATGCATATGTTCTAGAAAGTACGACAGATTAAAATAAGTTAAAATACGACAGTAGATTAAAATGAGATAGTGAAACTTATGGTGAGATATTTCCTTCTAATCTTGTCCTTTAGTGGCGGCATGATTTTGTGCATGGATGGATAAAAGTACCTGTGACTCATGAAACACAGGAAGAATGTCTTGGGTTGGCAGTATTAGATATGATGAGAATCGCCAAAGAAAAGGATCAAACCCCACTGGCCATCTATAACTCTGTCAGGTAATTTCCTTATGCAAATCCATGCATATACATGTGAACATTTAGAGTTTTTGTATAACTTAATTTGTACTTTCTGTGTTTGCCCACACATTTGATTTTATGTTAATAAATCATATAGGGGAAAAGTAGCAACACATAAAAAAGTACAACACATACTCTGAGGTCAAAGAAATTATCAAAAGAGTTAGCGTACCACAGAAAATATCATAGATGTTCATTACCTATTTATTACTTGAGTCTTTTATTCTGAAAAGGCAAGGTGAGGTCAGAGGATAGGAGAGAGCACTTGAAGGGTTAATTTCTGATGGTAGATCCTCAAATTGTCTGTATTAATAATGCTGAATCAGTATCTCTCAAATGGTGGTCTGTATTTTACTTGCATTGGAATCACCTGGCGTCCTTATTAAAATGAAAGATTCCCAAGAAAATTCAGTAAATCTGAGGTGAAGCACACGAATATGAATTTTTTTACAAGTGTTCCAGAGGATTCTTGTACAAGTGCTCCACAGTCCGTGTTCTTCAAATAATTCTTCTGCGTATTGATTTTTGAAAATCATGTGTCATATGGTTTTTTTGAAATACTTCTCCTGCAGCCTAGCTTTATGGCTATACAACTTCTTCTCTTTTTAAAGGTCTTTGTGATTATAGGATAGGAGCCCTGCTGGCATAGTGGTTAAGAGCTTGGTGGCTAAGCAAAAGGTTGGCAGTTCAAATCTACCAGCTGCTTCTTGGAAACCCTATGGGGCAGTTGTGCTCTGTCCTATAGGGTCGCTATGAGTCAGAATCAACTTGACAGGAATAGGTTTTTGGTTTATGGTGATTATAAGAATGCTGTGTTTGATTTATTTTTAAGTTTGAAGACTAAATATGTTGTGTATATAACATAGATTAAAAGTTCAAGGATATCCTGAATCTGGTCAAAACTTCCTTCTTCCTTGAAGTCCTTGTTTCAGTAACTGGCTTTAGTCACTCCTTTGCCGAGTGCCTTCAAAGCAAATATATACTCAGTTTGCAGGGTATCAGTTTTTATGTTTCCTTCTTTAAAGTGTTGTTGTTGTGTTTTTAGATGTCTGTTAGGCCTTAACCCAAGGGTGTAGGCCATAGGGTGTGATTTCAGGAACCTACTTCAGTCTAGAAAACCACAAAGTCCAAAGGAATCACTGAATTGTACATGTAAAAAATATTGAAATGGAAAATGTTTCGTTTTTTATATATATATATATACTTAACACAATATAAAAAAAGAAAAAAGTCCAAAGGAAAACCACAAACCTTTCTGTTTTCCATTCACTCAGATAAGGATTCCTGTAAGAGGATCTTTTCAAGGAAGAAGTTAGAGAGACTCATGAGTTTGATTTGACACATGGTTTGAGATGTTTCTGAAACATTCAGGTTAAATGAGTAGATTGACTAAATTTGGGACTATAGGATATGGGTCTGGAATTTAGAAGTCAGGACTAGAGATCGAATGTCTAGAGAATACCGATAAGAAGAGAAGAGGGCCTATAATTGAGTCCTGGGGAACTCCAGCGTTTAATCACCAGGTAAAGGCAATGAAGACTGAGAAGGAAGAGCCAAAGAGATGGGAATAAAAGCAGGAAAACTACGGGGAGAGAGTTTCATGGAGGGAATGAGCAACAATGTTGAATACTGTTGAAGAGTGACAAGTAAAATGAACATGGATATTTGGTTTTAGCAAAATGGAGGTTTTTCGTGATTTTAGCAAGAGAAGGCTGTATGGAATGATGGAGCAGAAGCCAGATTAGAGTGAGCTGAGGAGTAGATGGAAGGCAAGAAAATGAAATGACTGAGTATATAACACTTTCAAAAAGAGGCCAGGTAGGCTCTGGCTAGAGGAAGATGGCTAGAGGGAGATCAGAAAGAGCATTTCAAGATCTGTCCTGAATTACAGCGCTGTCAGTGATAGGATAATATCCATATGCCTACAAGGAAGACCAGTTAATATGACTGTTACTCAAATTTATGCACCAACCACTAATGCCAAAGATGAAGAAATGGAAGATTTTTACTAACTTCTGCAGTCCGAAATTGATCAAACATGCCATTAAGATGCATTGATAATTACTGGTGATTGGAATGCAGACGTTGGAAACAAAGAAAAGGATCAGTAGTTCGAAAATATAACCTTAGTGATAAAAATGACACCAGAGATCCCATGACACAATTTTGCAAGAGCAATGACTTCTTCATTGCATATACCTTTTCTCAGCAACATAAATGGTGACTGTATGCATGGACCTCACGAGGTGGAACACACAGGAATCAAATCAACTACATCTGTGGTAAGAGATGATGGAGAAGCTCAATATCATCAGTTAGAACAAGGCCAGGGGCTGACTGTGAAACAGATCATCAGTTGCTCATATGCAAGTTCAAGTTGACGTTGAAGAAAATTATAACAAGTTCACAAGAGCCAAAGTACAACCTTGAGCATACCCCACATGAATTTAGAGACCATCTCAAGAATAGATTTGACATGTTGAACACTAATGACCAAAGACCAGATGAGTTGTGGAATGACATCAAGGACATCATACATGAAGAAAGCTGAGGTCATTAAAAAGACAGGAAAGAAAGAAAAGACCCACATGGATGTCAGAAGAGACTCTGAAACTTGCTCTTGAACGTAGAGTAGCTAAAGGAGGAAATGATAAAGTAAATGTGGTGAACAGAAGATTTCAAAGGGCAGCTTGAAAAGACAAAGTATTATAATGAAATGTGCAAAGACCTGGAGTTAGAAAACCGAAAGGCAAGAATACACCCAGCATTTCTCAAGCTGAAAGAATTGAAGAAAAAATTCAAGCCTCGAGTTGCAATATTGAAGGATTCTGTGGGGAAAATACTGAACAACACAGGAAGCATCAAGAGAAGATGGAAGGAAAACACAGAATCGCTGTATCAAAAAGAGTTGGCCAACTTTCAACCATTTTAGGAGGTAACATATGATCAAGAACTGATGGTACTAAAGGAAGAAGTCCAAGCTGCACTGAAGACATTGGCAAAAAACAAGTCTCTAGGAATTGATAGAATACCAATTTAGATGTTTCAATAAATGGATGCAATGCTGGAGGTGCTCACTTATCTCTGTAAAGAAATTTGGAAGAGAGCTTCCTGGCCAACTGACTGCAAGAGATCCATGTTTGTGCCCATTCCAAAGAAAGGTGATCCAACAGAATGCGAAAATCATTGAACAATATCATTAATATCACATGCAAGTAAAATTTTGCTAAAGATCATTCAAAAGCGACTGCAGCAGTACATCGACAGGGAGCTGCCAAAAATTTAAGCAGGATTCAGAAGAGGACGTGGAATGAGGGGTATCGTTGCTGATGTCGGATGGATCTTGGCTGAAAGCAGAGGATACCAGAAAAGTGTTTATCTGTGTTTTATTGACTATACAAAGGTATTCAACTATGTGGATTATGGTGAATTATGGATAACATTGAGAAGAATGGGAATTCCAAAACACTTAATTGTGCTCATGAGGAACCTGTACATAGACCAAGAGGTGGTCGTTCGAACAGAACAAGGGGATACTGTGTAGCTTAAATTCAAGAGTAGTGTGTGTCAGGGTTGTATCCTTTCACCATACTTAATGCAGTCTGTATGCTGAGGAAATAATCTGAGAAGCTGGACTATATGAAGAAGAATGGGACGTGAGGATTGGAGGAAGACTCATTAACAACCTGCAATATGCAGCTGACACAACCTTGCTTACAGAAAGTGAAGAGGACTTGAAATATTTACTGATGAAGATCAAAGACTACAGCCTTTAGTATGGATTATACCTCAACATAAAGAAAACAAACATCCTCACAACTGGACCAGTAAGCAACATCATGATAAACGGAGAAAAGATTGAAGTTGTCACGGATTTCATTTTACTTGGATCCACAATCAGCTCCCACAGAAGCTGCAGTAAAGAATTCAAATGGCGTATTGCATTGGACAAATCAGCTGCAAAAGACCTCTCTAAAGTGTTGAAAAGGAAAGACATCACTCTGAGGACTAAGGTGTACCTGACCCAAGCCATGGTATTTTCAATCACTCATATTCATGTGAAAGCTGGACAGTGAATAAGGAAGACCAAAGAAGAATTGATGCCTTTGAATTACGGTGTTGGAGAAGAATATTGAATATGCCATGAACTGCCAGCACAGTGAACAAATCTGTCTTGGAAGAAGTATAGCCAGAATGCTCCTTAGAAGCAAGGATGGTGAGACTTTGTCTCATGTACTTTGAACATGTTATCGGGAGGGACCAGTTCCTGGAGAAGGACATCCTGCTTGGTAAAGTGGAAGGTCAGTGAAAAAGAGGAAGACCCTCAATGAGATGGATTAATACAGTGGCTGCAACAATGGGCTCAAACATGGCAATGATCATGAGGATGGCGCAGGTCTGGGCAACGTTTCGTTCTGTTGTACGTAGGGTTGCTGTGAGCTTGGAACTGACTGGAGGTCACCTAACAACAACAACAAAAGTGGGAGATGTGGGATAAAGAGATTTTACACTTAAGTTGGGAGGGACATTAGTACTTTTAAATTGTCTGGATAGAAGAGAAATAATTAATAGAGTAAAAATCCTTAGAGAGTGTGTACGTATGTTAGAGGAAGGGAGGAGGGTGTAGGTGAGTATATGTGGTAGAAATGGCTTTACTTAGCATTTCTACCATTCTGATATGATAGCCACAGATAACCTCAAAGGCATAGATAATAGTAAAAGAATTAGAAAGTGATGAGTTTTGATTACTAATTACTTTTATTTGTAATATAATTTAGTTATAAGTTCATATGACTTAATCTTTAGTGATGGCTATTTAACAATCAGCTCACAAAAATCCTTCAGATGTAATAATAGGCTCTCCTGAGCTGAAACGAGCTAGCTCCAGCATACCGCTGTCAGTAAGTAAACAATTATAGTATGGAATGATAAGTGATAGTACTGAATAATGCACAGATACTGTGAGAACAGAGGGAGAAGCATCTGATGTAGTCATGGAGGTCCGGAAAGGTTGCCTGGCTTTGATGATGCTGGTAAAATGAGAAGGAGCTAACTAAATAGGAAATGACTGATGGGAAGAAACATTAGTGTATGTGAAGGGATGGAAATTGAATAGAATTGTACCTTCAGGAACAAAGTGTTCTTTATTTGTCATATGTTTGGGAAGCAGAGAAATAAATTACCTAACTTCTTTAGGATATTGTACATAGAGATGGGAGTACAAATGAAACCTTTCTAAATGGGACAGTTTTAATGGTAAAGGAATTAGTAGGAGGTATTGAAGCTGGCCTAAGAAAACAACGTATATACAATAGAAATATGCTTGCATAATGAACAACAGTAGCATCCACAAAATGTACCATTTCCCAGAATTCAGATAAACTTTTGAGTATAACATCATAGGAAATATATGCAGCACAGTGCAGTGTCAAAAAAGAAAATGATATATAAGATAATCAGAAAAAGTACATTTTGGGAAAACTCCATTTTTAACTACAGTGAGCAAGCCTTCACTTCATTAGGGGAAAAAATTGACATCTACTGTAAACATTTGTGATGTCTTAGAGAAGGTACTGTATACGTATTCACATCATCAAATGAATGAAACCTTGAGGTTTTACACTGTCTGGGTGGTGTTTGTATGAACTTTCTCCACTTGACTACTGTTGTAGCACCCCCGTCATGGAGAAAGGGGATAACCTCTCTTTCAATTTTGTTATGAACTTCCCTTCTAATTTGTTTTGTTTTTCTGTGTGTGCTCTTTATCCCTAGCTACAAGACATTCTTACCAAAATGTGTTCGAGCAAAGATCCAAGACTATCATATTTTGACAAGGAAACGAATAAGGTATAGGTTTCGCAGATTTATTCAGCAGTTCAGCCAATGCAAAGCTACTGCCAGAAACTTGAAACTTAAGTATCTTATAAATCTGGAAGCTCTTCAGTCAGCCTTCTACACAGAGCAATTTGAAGTAAAAGAACCTGGAAGAGGTCCTTCAGGTGAGGAGATTTTTGCAACCATTATAATAACTGGAAACGGTGGAATTCAGTGGTCAAGAGGGAAACATAAAGAAAGTGAGACACTGACAGAACAGGTAATCCTTAATGATATGTTCTCATTCTTTGTTATTTTAAGTAGAATGGCAATGGAAGCAAAGTAATTGTAGTCCTTTGAAACATGGTCTTGTACTTCTCTTCTCCCATTAATAAGAAGCGGAAGTTTTTAATGGTGTGAAGCAATCAAGGTTATATGTGTAGTTCCTTTTTCATTGTTCTTAAATGGCTTTTGTTTCATTTTTTATGATGAAATAATTAGTAATGACTTTCTGATAGTTTCAGAAAAAGATTAAATTCTAAAAGTAATTTTTAAGGTAGTTCTGCCTCTTTTTTTTCTTTCACTATTATTGACAATAGGAGGCTCAATCATAAATTTTAGTTAAATGGAAAATGTTCTTTTTAATTGATTTTATGATAACATACTTGCTAAATAATTAATTTAGTTTTTTTTAGGTTTGTACTGCAAGCTTTGTATTTGTTCATATCTATGTTGTTCTTAGATGATTATTGGAGACTTAGAAGGAAGACTTGATTTTTATTCTTTGGTAGTTGAATTTCCAATTTTCTGGTGATGATGCCCATTAATGTTAATTGGATTGAAGGATACTATAGCATATTTTAGATTCCTGGCACCCTTAATGCTTTTTCATTTTTAAATCAAAGCAAGACACAATGTAGTCTTAGGGTTAGGTTATTAGGGGAGGGAATTCCATAAAATGGAATAAAATGCTATTGTTATCAGTGCCTTCTTTATTTTAAAGAATTTGGAGTATTTTAAAGTCTTGTTTTAAAATGGCGCCATATATTTTACCTGTTTTTAATTTCAATTGCTCTTAATCACAGGATTTACAGATATATTGTGATTTTCCTGATATTATTGATGTCAGCATTAAGCAAGCAAACCAAGAAGGCTCTAATGAAAGCAGAGTTGTAACTATTCATAAGCAAGATGGTAAAAATCTGGTAAGCTTGCTTTTAAGACTGAATAATGATTATATTTCATAGTTACCAGGAACAAGTATTTCAGAATCTTAATACCAAAGTTATTTTCTTGTAGGAATTTTGGTTATAGTTTTAAGTAAAGCTCTAAACATAAACATCAGTTTAGTAAGCTTTTTTTTTTATTACATCTAGCTTTTTGTATTACTACCAACACTATCTTTCCACAGAGTTTCTTGTATAGTAACATCTTTTCCACTCTTTGTTTTTTTTTTTTTTTGTGCGGGGAGAGCAGGAAAGGCACCTTTATTTCGTTATGCAAGCAACAGGAGTCAGTTGGAGGTGCTGCTGCCAAGGCTGCTCCCCAAGGGTGAGGAGAAAAGTTACTTTTAATGGGTTTACAAGTAGGGAGTTCATACAAGTTAGGTCAGCAGCATTCTTAATCATACTACGCAGGCACAGTGGGGTTTACATATAACTTCTGAGCAAAGCAAGCAGGATTTTAATGCAAAGCTGTGGGGGAGGAAGCCAAGCAAACAAAACAGGATTTTTGATACAAAGCTGCTTGAGGCTCTACCTTACTCCCTCTATTTCTTTTTGGACATTGGTCATTCAGGACCAGTGTCCATTTTGAATTATAGCCCAGCTCAGAATATGTTTGGCATGTTCTCGGGGAGCTTTTGCGCTCATTGTTTTGATTAACAAAGTACTGTTCTTTTTCTCCCACTCTGAGTTGTTCTGGTTCCCTATTGTGATGCTCATTCCTGACTATAATCTTTTTTTAATCAACAGGGGTGTGTACCATGCCTAATTTAAAAAAAAAAATCAGTACAATGCTGTTGGGAATTTATATAACAAAATGTAAACCAATCCCAAGTCCGCCCCACCAAAGCTGTGAGATATGGTTGATTCTAAAAGATGAAACCTTTCCTTTTCTTTTTAGTTTCAGAAAGATCATTTATTTCAACCAAAAGGGAAGAAATGGATTCCTTTATACTTTGTTCTTAAATTTCTTATTTATCTGACTCTGTTTTCATTCTCCTGGCTTAAACGTCATTTTGTTAGTGCTGTCCGGTCGACTCATAGCGACCCTCTGTACAACAAAACGAAACACTGCCTGGTCCTGCGCCACCCTCACAATCGTTGTTATTCTTGAGCCCGTGGTTGCAACCACTGTGTCAATCCATCTTGTCTTGAGTCTTCCTGTTTTTCACTGACCGTCTACTTTACCAAGCATGATGTCCTTCTCCAGGGACTGGTCCCTCCTGATAGATGTCGAAAGTACGTGAGACAAATCTCGCCATCCTTGCTTCTAAGGAACATTCTGGCTGTGCTTTTTTGAAGACAGATTTGTTCATTCTTCTGGAAGTCCAATTGTACATTCAGTATTCTTCGCCAGCACCATAATTCAAAGGCATCAGTTCTTCTTTGGTCTTCCTTATTTATTGTACAGCTTTCACATGCATATGAGGTGATTGAAAACACCATGGCTTAGGTCAGGCACACCTTGGTCCTCAAAATGACATCTTTGGTTTTTAACACTTTAAAGAGAGATCTTTTGCAGCAGATTTGTTCATTTAACTTAGATATCTGTGTGACCTACCTGTCTGACTATTTCAGGGTTATAGTACCAAAATTATAAGTAACTTGCAGCTTACTTTAGTCAGTGTACTTTACTGTTCTTAGACAAAAATATGATCTAGTGTATACCCACTGCCTCCTAGTCTTTGAGAAAAAATGAAATGGTCTTCTGATCTGTTTTTGAAAATGAACTCGGACAGCATTGTGGATGGATCGTTTAGGGTGGGTGGGAAAAGAAGGCTGGATGCAAATAAGTCAGTCATGCTCGTAGTTAATAATTAGACTTGGACTAGGGATATAAGCAGTGGGATGGCAGTATTAGAAATAGCCTGTATGAAAAACATTGTATTAGAATTAACAAGAGTTGGTGATCATCAAATACTGGGAGTAGGTAGCCACAGTTAACTTTGATTATTTTGTAGTATACAAGTAAAGCATTAATAAGATCCTATTGTAAGAAAAAAATTCAATAATTCAGATTTACACAGAATAGGTAAAAAAAAGTCCTTGTAACTAACATTCATGTTGGTCTTACTCCCCTCTCTGGAAGTAACTGTTGATATCAGCTTTCTGTGTTTATTTTCTTTACATAAATGAGGTCATAGTTCATCTATTGTTCTTTCACTAGTGTTTTTTTTTTCCTAACAAGATATCAATTGTTCTATATACCTATGGATCTAACTCTTGAAACTACTACTGTGTATATGCTATGATGTATAATTTATTTTACAATTCACCCTGCTACTAATAGACCTTTAATCTTTGTCATTTTTTTTGCTATTGCAAAAAATGCAACAAGTAGACATCTTTGTATAAGCTTTTCTATATATGTAAGTCAGTATATTGCTAGGAGAGATAGAGAAGAAAGTTAATTTAGGAACAGCATGAGATGAAGAGAACTTTCTTGAATATTTAGGAAGAGTTGACTTTTCAAGTGGTACTTAATATAAATATTGTTTCTTTTTCCTCTCTCTTGCTGTTTAGGAAATTGAACTTAGCTCATTAAGAGAAGCTTTATCTTTCGTGTCAGTGATTGACGGATACTATAGATTAACTGCAGATGCACATCATTACCTCTGCAAAGAAGTGGCACCTCCAAGAGTGCTTGAAAATATACAAAGCAACTGTCATGGACCAATTTCGTAAGTAATACAAACTTTAAAAGTAAAATTTTTAAAGGTAAATGAGACGTTTACAGAGAAGATTTTCTACAACAGAATGATATAAGTGGGTTTAGGAATTTAGAAAAAATCTTTATTTGACTGACATTGGGTTGTTCTTTTTTTGTTATTAACAGAAGTCTATAGTTTGCAATCAGATTAAATAATAATTAGAATTGTTTAGGACATAATTTACTATGTGTCCTAGTTTATAATAGTTACAACTTGTATAAGTTTAACACTTAATTGCTATTCATGTTTAACTCTTAGATGTTATTTAAAACCATGATATTATTATTATTATTTTTGCTAATTTAAAAAGACCTCCAATTTAGTTTCATTTATTTTTATTCATTTATTTATTATTCGTTCATTTATTATTATTTTCGCTAATTTAAAAAGACTTCTGATTTAGTTTCATTTATTTTGAAATCCTGCGAGCAGCCACAGTACAAAACTTGAAAATCTTCATTATTTTTGGATAATCCAACTCCTTCTACTGAAAACTTCAAACACAAGATGATGTCCGTATTTCGAGACTAGTGCTGTCTAGTAGTCTTTTCTGCAGTGATGAAATTGATCTATATTTGCACTGTCTAATACAGTAAACACTGGCTGGTACAACTGAGGAAATGAATTTTTATTTCATTTAGTTTTAAATAACTGCGTTTAACTAATAGCTACCATACTGACCACACAATTGTAGATCCTTATTTTAATACTGAGTAAACCCAACTATCATGCATAAAGTCTGTTTAGCCCAAGTCCTAATTCTCTCTCAGCCAGGGTGTACTTTGATTGACCCCAGGTTTGAAGAACCTAAGCAGAAGAAATGATCTTGGATTATGAGCATGTTTCTTGAACTTAACCTACCCCTAAATATTTGAGAAAATGACTGTTATTTAAGACTTGATTCAGTCTATACCTGATGTTTTGATTCAGTCTACATATACTAGGAGCCCTGGTGGCACAGTGGTTAAGAGCTTGGCTGATAACCAAAAGGTTGGCAGTTCAAATCTACCAGTCGCTCCTTGGAAACCCTGTGGGAGAGTTCTACTCTGCCCTATAGGGTCGCTGTGAGTTGGAATTGACTTGCCAGCAGAGGGTTTGGTTTTTTTTTTGGTACTGTGTAACTAATAAGTAAGGTTGTTACATAAAAGTTGTGCTACTTGAACATTCTGTCTAAATTTTACATGTTCAGTAAAAAAAAACTTTATACTATTCATTTGTCCATCCATCATCCATTTAAACTTTCTTTCATTTTTTTAATAGAACATTTACTGAGCACCTACTATGTGCCAGGCACTAGTTTGTATATGAGAAAGATGGTGATAAGTAAATATAGTTTGTAGTTTTCTTGTGGTGTCTTTACCTGGCTTTCTTATCAGGGTAATGCTGTCCTCATAGAATGAGTTAGGAGGTGTTCCTTCCTCTGTTTCTTCAGAAGGGTTTGAGAAGGGTTGGTGTTAACTCTTCTTTAAATGTTTAGTAGAATTCACCAAGGGAGCCATCTGGTCTTGGACTTTATTTTTTTGGGAGGTTTTTGATTACTGATTCAATCTCTTCCCTTGTTATAGGTCTGTTGAAATTTTCTATTTCTGCTTGAGTTAGTTTAGGTGGTTTGCGCGTTTCTTGAAATTTGCCATTTCTTCTAGGTTATCTAATTTGTTGGCATGCAATTGTTCATACTGTTCTCTTATAATCCTTGGTATTTCCGAAAGGTCCATAGTGGTGTCCCCACTTCCATTTCTGATTTTAATTATTTGCATCCTCTCTCCTTTTTTCCTTGTCAGTCTAGTTAAAGATTTGTCAATTTTATTACTCTTTTCAAAGAACCAAAGATTATTGATGAACATACAAAGTACAGGAGACTTCCAAGAATTATGAGTGTTAGATTTGCCTTTAGATCATTTAGATGACATTTTGGTCATAACGGCATGGTGCTTGGGTATGTTATGTTAAAAAGGCTGTTGGAAATTTAATAGGGGTTTTGTTGAACCTATACATCCATTTGGCAAATAATTTCTTCTTTACCTTTAGAATGGATTTTGCCATCAGTAAACTGAAGAAAGCTGGTAATCAGACTGGACTGTACGTACTTCGATGCAGTCCTAAGGACTTTAATAAGTATTTTCTCACATTTGCTGTTGAGGTTAGTATGTCACATTAATTAATGGTAACAACTTTATTTTGTCCATCTCATTTCCCCTTCATATTTAACCACCATATTTCCTTTTTAATACTCAGAATTATAGCTTTGGGTTTGATAGCATAATAATGCTAAATTTTTCTCAAGGACGCTGCACAAGCAAGATGTAATTCTTAGCAATTATATAAAAATAGAAAATGCTTCATAATGTGTTTTTATCCTTTTATTTGATATTTATTTTTTGATGTTTGGGTTGTGATCAGCTTGTCAAATGATGTTTCATCAAGTCTCTTGAAGTTCCTTTTTTTGCAAACATGGAAATCTCTGTCAAATCACGTAGAACAAAGTAGATCAAAAGCAAATTTTACTGAGAATGATTACATGATCAGCAGGAAATAGTGCAGTCACACACGCACACACAAAAACAGAAGCATTTTAGCACTTTTAACTGTAGCACTTTAACCAATATTAAGAATAGTGATCTATAGTGTATGTTTTAAACATAAAACTACAGTGAGACCTCACTGTTAAGACAAATCTTCTGGAACCTCTTATAAGATTATTTATTATACAAAATCTTGAGAAACTTTATAGCAACTTCCAGATTTATCTTTTTAAAAATGGAGAAAGTAAGCATTTTGTTATTCGGTTATTTTAATTTTTATGAAATTGAATCATCTTATATTTAGCATATGTAGATAATGGATTAGTTTCCATAAATACAGAAGGTGGTTTACTCTATGACTTACCATTGTAAAATACTGATAATCCATCCTGATTTGACATTATCATCTCACTATAACAATCCATTATATTGAATTATCAATAATTCAGAATTTAAATTTTTTTATGTTTACTGTATGTGTCCAGCCTAAAATGAAGACTATGTGTTTGGGAGTATGTGATATAGGCTTATTTCCAAGGGAGTATGTGATATAGCCCTGCCTTCAAAAAACTTATTCTTTAGAAAAACAGCAATAAGAAAGTATACCAAAAAATACTAAGTTGAGCATTGTAATTACCCAGTATAGCAAATATTGAGAATAACAGAAGGGGTTACAATTATTAAGAGAATTTTTTGGAGTAGGAAGGACTTGAGAGAGACCTTGAGGTTTTGGTAGATTTTATATAAATGGTTCAAAATAAGATGAATATACTTATAAGGAGCGTCTCAAAAAATAGTTGAAAGAACAAGTTTATAACACAGCACATAAGATAAGCATGTAAAACAAACTGCAAAATATTAAAAATGCTATATCAGAGATAATTATACAAGTATGATAGTGGCACAACAGAATGAGTGATTACCTTTGTTTGTGGAATGGGGTGGAAGTTGTCAGCGAAGTCCTCACAGAAAAAGTGGTGCTTGAAGTGAATTTTAAGGAATGAATACAAAGTTTATTGCTCCGAAGGAAAGGAAGCAGATTTTAGAAAGACAGATGGTGTGTATAGTTATCCAGGCATTAAACAGCATGCCATTTGCTTGTGGTTACTTAAGTCACTTAATAAGGCTGCAGTACAGGTTGTGTGTTGTGAGTAGTAGGAAGTGAGGTTGGAGATGGAGGAAGAAGCCAGCTCATGAAAGGCTTTATATGCTACACTAGTTTTAGACTTTATCCTGCAAATGATGGGAAGCCATTAAGGACAGTATTGCTAGTGTTAATTAACATCGCTTTCTTACTTGCTTCTTAATAAAATCAACTGTCAGCCACTTCCTGTAAGCTATACAATTGTAATTAGATACCTTTCTGAGGAACCAAACATTTCTATCTCCCTGTATCAGCAGTACAGTAGGGTTCCCAGTTCTAAATATTCTGTTGTTTTTGTGATACCCCCTTTCTCAGAATAATTACTGTAACATCCGTTGTGATTTCCCCCCCTCTCTGTAATTAAATTTATATAGCGAGACAATGTCATTGAATATAAGCACTGTTTGATTACAAAAAATGAGAATGGAGAATACAACCTCAGTGGCACTAAGAAGAACTTTAATAATCTTAAAGATCTTTTGAACTGCTACCAGATGGAAACTGTTCGTTCAGACAGTATAATTTTCCAGTTTACTAAATGCTGCCCCCCAAAGCCAAAAGGTAAAATAATTTTTTTAGTTATTTTTAAAATACTGGTCATGGATTATGCATCTGGTGGGAGGTATCTTCATTACATTGATTTCAAAAGAAGTATGAAAGAAGCAGCTCCAAAACCAAATTAATTTTGACTTACTCTGTTGTAGAACCATCATCAGATAGAATTGTTTCGTTTGCTTTGGGTTGTTGAGAAGTGACTTGAAGTTCCATAATTATAGAATGGCATTTTAAGAATAATAATGGCTTGGTATAAATCAGTCATTATTTGTTGAACTAGAAGGCCTCACTACCAAATTTTCATATATGTTATAAGTAAAAATTTTCATACTCTTTTGGGATTTTAATTTCTCAATTTTAAAAATAAGAATAGTAAGATTGGAAATCCCTTGAAATAATAATTGTCTTATTATTAAAGTTATTATTAAAAATCCTGAAAAATTATATTAGTTAAGGAACTGATTATAATTTTAATGTATGAAATGGAGAACATCAAAGTTTAATGAATAAACTCCTTAGATAATTTTCTATGGAAAAAAAAGAACAATAAGCATTTATTAAGCATTTTTTATACATAGAACACACTTTATTTTACTCCTCTTTGGAGTAATTTATATCCTCTGTGTTTTGATTGTGTGTGTGTATTTTTTATTTTTTCAGATAAATCAAACCTTTTAGTCTTCAGAACTAATGGTGTTTCTGATGTACCAACCTCACCAACATTACAGAGGCATAATAATGTAAACCAGATGGTGTTTCACAAAATCAGAAATGAAGATTTGATCTTTGTAAGTCATTAGTTACTGATTATTGTCTTTTTTGGCCTTTTAAAATAAAACCTGTTTAAACAACGCTTGTTTTCTTCATTTGTTGCCTCATATGACATTTGAAACTATTTTGTCATAACTTATGCTATAAAAATTTAGTTGTAATTTAAATTTTCATTTCTTATTAAAAATTTTCCAAATTTGAGTTTGAGATAAGTGAAATTAATTATTTTAAGAATAGAATTGTATTTTCTTTTCAGAAATTTAAAAATCTCCCTCTACTAATCTTAAATTAAAAATTTGAAATTTTCCTTTGTAAAATTAAAAATGAGAAATCTTCCTCTACAGAAGACCCATGCCTTAACTCTCAGGTTCTCAAGAAAGTAAGGGAAATCCAAGGGGTTAAAAATAAAGAATTGAAAGCCGAAGTAGTAGGTAAGAGCTGATGTTTTCACTGCAGGATGGTGTTGGGGGCAGGAATTGGTCTCACTAAACAAGGGACTTAAGATTTAGCAGCAATACAGAAGCAGGGGTGAGGTCTTAGGCCTGCACAAGGCCAGAAGTTAAAACTGAGACTGTCCCTGGATAAATCTAGGATCCTTGAGTTAATACATCTTTAGTAAAATGATACATTATGAAAAATTTACCTACTAGCAAAAGGAGAAGAGAAGATTGTCTTCGTTGGGCTCTTAGTGAGGAAAAAGAGTCTCTCCTGAGAATTTGTAATCAAAGGCTTTTGAGTTTGGGTTTCTTTATTCTACCTGCATGCTCTGAGATAACCTATGCCAATAAATTAAATTAAAAAAAATTAAATAATACTCTGTTGCTTCGCAGAAGCAAATGCGAAACCTTTTTTGGAATAATTTACCCTTAATCTAGGCCACCCAGGATTCCCAAAGATAAAACCACTTCAAACATGAGCTTATAATAGAAAATTTAAAAACATCCAGGGAAATAATAAAAGGTTAAACAAGAGTCAGCAGACCAACTGACATCAAATTGGACTTCCATTAACTTCATATAATAGAATTTTCAGATCAAAGAAACTATAAAATACATACAAATATTTAAAGTTATAAAAGGAGTTGAAACCATGAGGAAATGACAAATCAAAAAGGACTAAAAAGACTTGGAAAAAAATAGAATGTATAAAAATGGAAAATATACGCATTGACATTAAGCAAAATGGACAGGTTAGAAAGCAGATTACTGATAGCTGAATTAGTGACTTAGAAAATAGATCTGAAGAAATTACTCAGAGTGTAGCAAATGGGGAGAAAGAAATGGAAACTGTGAAAAAGTATATGGGAGGTAGAATAGAAACACCAACTCATATCTAAGCTCCGTAGGGAGACAACGGATAGATTTATCCAGAGTTGTAAAGAGATGACTCCTCATGTGAGGAATAGGAAGCACAGAGTGGCCAGGTGACTTGACTAACATTACAAAACTAATAAGTAGTAGAGCTTGGATTTGAACCCAGGTAGTCCTGCTTCAGAGTGCAGGCTTTCAATAATTACTCTGTAAGGATATATAATAAATACTAGTAATAGTAATAATAGCTGACACATATTGAGATTTACTGTGTGTCATGGACTGTTACCAAGTGCTTTCATATGTTAATTTATTGTTGATAATAATCCTATGGGAAAAGTACAGTTATTATCCCCATTTCTCAGATGAAGAAACCAAGACAAAGAGGGATTAGATAGCCTATATAAGGTCATACAATTAGTAAGTGGTAATAAGGAACAAGTCAGACATACTGCTTCCACAGACTACACTGTATTGCCTTTCTGCTGCAGGTAAGCAAGGTAAACAAAGAAAAAGATGCACACAAATAAATGTAGGTAAACACTGACTCTATTTAAAAATGTAAACATTAACTAAAAGAGTTTAAAAACCCGATGGAACCTGTTTCTGTCTTTCTTAAGGAACAAGAATAGAAGAATTAATTAATTTGGAGTCTCAAATCTGGGTTTAGTTAGTAAGAGAAATACTTGCTTATAGATTGTTTCTTTTTTTTGTCATTGTGCATAATTCTTAAGTTTTACTTTTTTGTCCTTCTTCCTTCTCTTTCCTTTTTTTTTGAAGAATGAAAGTCTTGGCCAAGGCACTTTTACAAAAATTTTCAAAGGCGTAAGAAGAGAAGTAGGAGACTATGGTCAGCTGCATGAAACAGAGGTTCTTCTCAAAGTTCTAGATAAAGCACATAGAAACTACTCAGAGGTTTGTATGTTCTTCGTGCACTTCATTTAGTTTATGATGTTGAAAGGGTGCTCTCCTAAGCTCACAGCACATTCACGCATGCAGCTTTTCAAGATTGTAGTTTAAGAAATCATAGTTGATCCTCATTATTCACAGATTCTGTATTTGTAGCCCCCAAATCAATACTCGTGGCACTTTTGCAGTCATTCACAGACTTGTACATGTGCATAGCAGCAAAAACGTCATCCCCCAATGTGCGTGGCCCAAGCTGAGGCCCAGCAAGGCAATGCTCTGCCTTCTTGTTTCAGCCACGTGCTTTAAACAAGTGTCCTTTTCACAGTATCTTTAGTGCCATGTTTTTTGCATTTCTGTGCTTTTCGTTGGTGATTTTGCTTTCGAAATGGTCTCCAAGTATGGTGCTGAAGTGCTGTCTTGTGTTCCTGAGCACAAGAAGACTGTGATGTGCCTTACAGAGAAAATAGACTTGTCAGATAAGCTTTGTTTAGGTAGGAGTTACAGTGTCGTTGGCTGTGAGTTCAGTGTTAATGAAACAACAATATAAAGTATGGTGTCTTTAAACAAGAACACACATCAAACAAGGTTATGTATTGATTGGGTGACAACAATGTGACCAGTGGCTCACAGGAATCTAACCCTGTGTTTGCCTTAGGAGCAGTGGTTTAATATTGGTTAATTCAGTGTTTATGTCAACTTAATAGAACGTCACTACTGCAGATAATAAGAATTAACTGTATGTATATTAAGGACCTTTCTGAGGATGCACTCTGTTGGGACTATAGAAAATTATAGAATTTTTAGTAATAGTATATTATTTCAAAACTACTTTTAGCATTGTGTTTATGGGCATTATTACATCTCTTCCTGTACCAAGGCAATGGTTTTCATACCTGATTCCCCAGAGATTTATGAGTTCCATAGAAGTATTTCCACAATTCCATTTACTTTTAAAGCACAAATTTGAAAGACACTGTACTAAGAAACACTGTAGGCAAAATATGGATGCTTCCTGGCCATCATCAGAGATGCTACCTAGGCAGAAACCCAGCTGTCAGTTACCAGAACCCTGAGCATAGCAAGGCATCACCAAACTTGACATGAAGCATTTATGATCCTTAGAATACCTTAAAAGTAGATGATGATGTGAAACATAAAAGCTGAAGAGTTGTTCTCATCGACAGTATTAGTGATCACGATGCTGTGAACAACCATACCCAGTAGTTCTAGTAAGGTTTAGTTGAGTTAGAGTGATGTTAATACTGTACCATTATTCTGATGGATGTCATGATATTTTATCTGCACAGAGACCATTCTTCATTCTTTAGGAAGCAGCATTTGAAGGTCCCATCCATGTACTTCAGCCCCATATCACCATCTCTGGTGTCCACCTCTAGTAGTACCTCTGCTCTGTATTCTAGGTGCTGTGGGTTTAAGCCTGTTTGATTCTCGTCACTCATGGAACCTCATACCGCTACTGCTCTCTCACATTGTTCTCTACATATTCTAGGCTCACTTAGGGGTTTCCTCAGAATGCACCCTCACACCAAGAATGATGGCAGTTGTTCAAAGGGACCAAAGCACATTCTGTAGTCCTGTTGAGAAGGTGCATTTCTCTTAGGGCAAGATTATCTCTCTGAACT